GTTAAAACGTTTTTTCTCTTTGTAAGGTTATGGTCAGGGGTCATAAACAGTTCCTAAACCAAACCAAGCTTTACCAACCTCGTGTACTTTTTTTTTGTTGATCAATCAATTTAACATTTCAACAAATTATGACTAGTTACGAATTATGATTATGACTGTTGGTGTCGGATCTCGTAAATCCATCCGACCCGGAGATTCGGTGGGCTTAGGGTTATTGGGCCAAATTATAAAAAGCCCAAGAACTCATGGAACTGACATGTCCATTAATTGACCCACTAATTCCGGACCATTACTTCGAGGAACTACGTGATCTCGCGACATACGGACAATTTGAGGACACGATTAGCGGTGTGGAAGGAGCATGCATTAAATGACCCCGAGTTTCGAACTTGTAGTATAAATAGGAACATGTCAACATTGTAAAAAGGGGACATTTTCTTCGAATAAAATCAATACATACATTTTGCTAAAAGTTCTCTTTTTTTTTTTTAAGAAAAAGTTCTCTTGTTCTCTTTGTAATCGATATTCTAACTGCCGAGGCTAGAGATCTGTGCAAATCGACGGATATCTACATTGCGGATTCCGACATCCACAATGACTATTAAGATTCCAATCCGAAATTTAACCGTTAAAAAAACAACTAAAAGAATTTTTATGAAGCACATATATTTTATAGTGGTTTATCCTCAATATAAAAAATACAATCAATATTTGTTGTTATGAAGTTTTGTTATAATCAAATCGGAAGTTTGTATTTTTTTTTTCCTTTTTTTAGGTTCTACATTTAGAGATCGACGCTCTTAAATAAATAAGTGAGAAAATTTCTAAGACAAAAAAAAAATATGACTGCAATATCTGATATTATTTTAGTTATATTTGTTTTACTCACTAGATCAGCGTAAGATTTTTTGTTGGATTTTTTACAGCGTTAACGAGAGATTAAACTCTGTCTTAAACAATAACAATTGTCAAATTCTAATAAAAAAGTTTTATTTTACTTAATAATATTTTAATAAGATATTTAGTTTATTACAATGTATATATAATATAATTTACTGACACATACAAAAAGTTAATTTGTTATCTATATATGTCAAAACTAAATCAATTATTCATATGTGTCCAAATTTGATTATTTGTAATTATGTCATATGTTGGATTTTTCCTTGCTTTTTAAAGAAACATATCTAATTTTAGTTTTTTTTTATAAGAAATTTATTTATTTATTTTAATAAGCATATCTTCTTTTTTTGGAGTCAAATTATCATATCTAATTTTAGTGAAAAAAAATCATTAGTTTGTTAAACATCTGTCAAATTTTAACTAATTATAGAGATATGTTACAATTTCAGTAATTGTAATTACATCATTTGTCATTATATAAAATTTCAAAATGAAACGTATCAAATTTTAGTTCATGCATTAAAAAGAAATAACGACACTGTGGTCTCTAACTGTTTATATAAGAAAGTGTAAACCAAACAATACCTTCACTAAATCAAAAAGCTCTCAAAAAGAAATCAGAAAAAAATACAAAATTGGACCCCAAAGTTTGTATTTTTTAAATTTTACCCCCAAACTTCGTCTCTTCGTTTTGTCTTCTCTCTTGCTTCGCCGTTAAAAGCCGTAGCAACAAAAACCCTAAACTCTCAGCCGCCACTTTGTTCAAATGGCTAAGAAGAAAGTGTCTCGTAACTCCAATGGAGCTTCCAATGAGCAACAACAAATCCAGAATCAGTCAGTACCAGTCACTTCCCAGAAATCGGCGAAGCTAAGTCGTGAATCGTCAATGGAGGACCATGATTCGTCGGAGGAGAAGTTTCAGAATTTGAAGTCACTCAATGCGATTCTTCTGAAGCAAACTATGGAGAAGAGACAACAGATTGAATCTCTTTTCCAGGCGAAAGATGCGTTGGAGATCGAGTTGGTTCGTTCCGGGAAGGAGAAGACTTTGCTGCGAGAGGAGTTGTGTGGTTCGAGCGATGAGAATTTCATGTTGAAGCTTGAAATGGATTTGTTTATGGGTTTTGTTGAGAGTCGTGTTAAGGAAATGGGAGTTAGAGTAGATCTGTTGGTTAAGGAGAAGAGTGATAGAGAGATTGAGATTAGGGATTTGAAAAGAGAAGCTATTGGTGCGATGAGGAAGTTAGAGAGTGAGAGAGAGGAGTTTAGTAGGGTTTGTGGTGAGAGGGATTTGGTTAAGAGTGGGTTTGATTTGCAGAGTGGGGAGATGAATCGTTTGAAGGAGAGTGTGGTGAGGTTGGAGATGAGAGAAGTGAGTTTGGGAGAAGAAGTTGGGAGGTTGGAATGTGAGAATGGTAGATTGGTGAAGGAGAGGAAGAAGAGAGAGGAGTTGATTGAGAGGGTTATTAAGGAGAGGAGTGAAATGGAGGAGAGGTTTGAGGAGAAGGTTAGGGAGATTGATGAGTTGAAGAGAGAAATCAAAGGGGTTGTGAGAGAGAAGGCGGAGGTTGAGATGGTGGGACGTGATCAGAAGGAGACGATCGTGGAGTTGGAGAGAAAGTTAGGGACTTTGAATGAGATTGTGAAGAGTTTGACTAAGGAAGGGGAGGGGTTACGTGGTCAGGTTGTTGGATTGGAGAAGAGTCTTGATGAGGTTGTGGAGGAAGCGAAAGCGAGGGCGGAGCAGATCAATGGACTTGTGAAAGAGAGAACTGTTAAGGAATCTGAGCTTGAGGGTTTACTGGTGGAGAACAATTTGATTAAGAAAGAGATTCAGATGGCTATAGTGAAATTCTCTGATAAGGAGCGACTGGTGGACCAATTGTTGCGCGAGAAGAATGAGCTTGTTAAGCGTATTGTTAACCAGGAGGCTGAGATAGTTCATCTGAGTAAACTGGCGGATGAGCAAAAGCATGTTGTGGCGAAGCTGCGGAAGGATTGTAATGAACAAACCAAGACTGGTGAGAAGCTTAGCTGCAATGTTAGCCAGCTTAAGGATGCTTTGGCGCTGGTTGAGGTCGAGAGAGACAATGCTAAGAAGGCTCTTGATGAGGAGAAGATAAACCGGGTGGCTCTTAAGGAAAAAGTTGTCGAACTAGAGAAAATGATTGCATCCACTGGTAAAGAGTTTGAGAAGATTAAGGCTGAGCGAGGGAGATTGATTAAAGAGAAGAAGGAATTGGAGAATCGATCTGAGTCATTGAGAAACGAAAAGGCTACCCTTCAAAAGGATATCGTAGAGCTGAAAAGAGCTATGGGTGTTTTGAAAACAGAACTAGAGTCTGCTAGAACCAATGCAAAACAAAGTCTAACAATGCTGAAGAGTGTGTCCTCTCTAGTGTGTGGATTAGAAAACAAAAAAGGCGAGAAGAAGCGTGAAAAAGGAATGGATTCCTACTCTGTGGAGCTAGAAGAGATCAAGAAAGCGTTCAAAAACAAAGAAAGCATGGTCGAGGGAATGAAGAAGGAAATAGAGAAAATGAAGCATTCGGTGGACGATGCACACAAGAAGAAGAGCTTTTGGACCCTTGTGTCATCTGTTACTTCTCTCCTCATGGCTGCTTCTGTTGCTTATGCTGCTTCGATCAAGTAAAACACCTGAACATGGTACTACCCTATAACTCTGAAGACAACATTACCGCATTCGAGTTCTCAATTTTTGCTGTTTAACTTCTAAACCATTTAGAGCATCTTATGAGCTTTTTACTCATAACTCTATGTAGTTGGTTCAATAACTATCATGTAAACCTTTTTTTCCTTTCCTATCTAGTAGCTCTATGTCTGTGATTCTGCTACTTTTTCTCTCTGAACATGTAGTTGATTCCCAGAAACTCTAATAAACTTGTTTGTGTCATATTCATATATTAAGCAGTATATATTATATCTTTTGGTATCAAGTTTGTGTCTCCACTTAATTGATAATATGTGAATATGATAAATTTTGTTGGACGATGCACACAAGAAAATGGCTGCTTCTGTTGCTTACGCCGCTTCGCTCAAGTGATCACCTGAAGCTGAAGATGGTACTACCCTATAACTCTCAGGACAACATTACCGCATTCGAGTTCTCAATTTTTGCTGTTTAACTTCTTAACCATTTAGATCATCTTATGAGCTTTTTACTCATAACTCTATGTAGTTGGTTCAATAACTATCATGTAAACCTTTTTTTCCTTTCCTATCTAGCTCTTTGTCTGTGATTCTGCTACCTTTTTCTCTCTGAACATGTAGTTGATTCCCAGAAACTCTAATAAACTTGTTTGTTTCATGTTCATATATTAAGCAATATATATTACATCTTTTGGTATCATCAAGTTTGTGTCTTCACTTAATTGATAATATGTGAATATGATAAATTTTGGAGTAAGCATATAAATTAGAAGTAGGTGAGGAAGATATTTTGGTAGATATTATTTATCAAAGCTAACTATAACCACATTCTTTATAATGTTTTTCTTTTAGAAGAAGATTGAAGCCTCTTACCAAACCAACTTGTCTTTTTCATTCCACATGTAGTCTTATTCTAAGTGGACTCCATTATATATTATTATAAAACTAGCTTATTTTTGTATCTTTTTTGCTTCTTTTTTGTTGGGTTCCACAAGATTATTAACTATATTCTCATCATTGTGCAAAGAATAAGATACATCTCATATGAAAACAAAACCCTTTTTATTGCTTTTTCATAAGAAAATAGTAACAATATTGCATGTTTTTTGAGGAGTCAATTTTTTTCTTTTGTGGTGATCCAAATGCAATGAATCTTCCTCCATGAGACATTTTGGTTTTACATTTAAAGTAGAATTATAAGACTTAAACATCAAATCTTTGTCAATGGTTACATTGCAATAACGCCTATAAATGAGTGAATATGAGACATTTAGTTTTCAATTTTAATGTTTTTTTTTTCTTTTTTTAGTTTTCTAATAACTATTGATTGTCTTAAGCTTAATCACTCGGACTATGAGTTTGATTTCTTCATGGTTGCTTCGACATATTCTTCTCTTAACACAAAGAAAACAAGATCACTTTTAGGATAAGCAAACACAACATCACATTGCTCAAGTTACAACAACTTATATTACACTAAAAAAATAAGAAAAAAAAAACACTTATAATTAAACATATTGCTGATGTATGTATATGTACTAGATAGATATTTACCGAAAATATCATAATAGAAACATAACCAAAGTTACTATCAACCGCAAGCTGAAAAAACTCAGCTCTAGTTATAGTCAAAGGCTAAAGCTAAAAAGCCAAACATTACCGACCACACTGTTCTTCTTCCTGCTTTGCTTTCAGAATCCAGCTTAGGACGGTTCACAAACGCGGACGCAGCCACCACCACCGTGGTAGTAGTTGAACGCCATTCTTTTGACTGACTACAAAGACCTTCTAAAACGAGAATCTCGGGCTTTCACCTTCCGTGGTGGATTTCACCCGTTTGTTAGTGAAGAGATTACGGTGAGGGAAAAGAGCGTTTTCATTGGCATTCTGCGTTTACAAATGCAGCTATCTCGTCCATAACGGTGTGGAAATGATTGTTGTTAGGTAATAAGTAGAAGCCAATGGTGGCTTGCTCCAAGTAGAGAAGCTTCACATCTTGACCCGCTTTCTTGAGTCCTTCTGCATACTTCAATTGCCAATCTTGAATCAAATCTAAACCCGCTACAACGACCAGACTCTTGGGGAAACTCAACCCTTCTAAACTCTTGCTTCTCGGGCCAAACGGGCTACACGCTGGATGCTCTCTGTCTTCACCCTCCGGAAGAAACGCTCTCCAATACCAATCTCGGTCTCTAACCGTCACAAAGTATTTCCCATCCAAACGTTTCTCAGATTCCGTTCTCTCGGTCCCTCCAAACATAGGGTTAAGCAAAATGTTCCCCAAAACATTGATCCCCGACTCAACTGCTCTTAGTGCAACATTATGCACAATGTTACCCCCAGAGCTATCACCCACCAAGAAAATATGAACCTTTGAGTCTTTCTTGCTTTTAAGCCAAGAACTAGAGTTGACCCAATTCAAAACAGCCCAGCCATCATCATAAGCACAAGGGTATCGATTCTCTGGTGCACGACGATAGTTCACAGAGACAACAACAGCACCACACAAACCAACAAGCCTACGGCAAAGAGTATCATAAATAGCACTGTTTGCAGAAGAATGTGCAAAGCTTCCACCATGGAAGAAGACAATAACAGGCACTATTTCACCATCAACGGGATTCTGAAGATCGGTAACACTTGGTGGGGGACCAGCATTAGCCGGTCTGTATACTCGGCTAAGCAGATTGGTTTGGCGATCGATGATAACATCGAACGAGAAGACCCCATTAACAGGGTTGGCGTTTGCAGGGACTTTCCGGTCTAGAAACTCTGCAAGATGGCGGTTAAAAGTTCCGTCAGGGCGGCGCAGGAGATTGTAGGCTAGCTTAAAGTTGGATATCAAAACCCATGTATTGAGAGGCACCACTGTCTGCAACAAAAACATGGAACATGGAACTATTAACAAAAACAACAAAACTTTATATGACATAAAAAAAGCTTCTTCAAATTTGATTAAAGGTCCATAAAGAGTCTTAGTCTTCTGCCAACTAATTAGCAAGTTGATTTGATATGATTTCAACACTTAACAGTAGAAACAGTCAAGAAATGGACAACAAAATCAAAAGTGAAAAATCAAGAACTACCAAAAATCTGATTTTGCCCAGAATCAAAATCAGTCACTAGAGAAAGAGAAAAACTAAAAGCCAAATAAAGCCAAGAAAAGCTCCTAAATTAGTAAAGACCCATCAAGCAACCGACACGTTTCATTACCCCAAACGATGAAAGCTCTAAGCTTTGATTACTTAAAAAAACACATAACTAAACACCACAAAACTAAGAACAATCCATGAACACAGTTAATATCCAAAATCACAAAAGACCCATCTAACAATTACAATCATAAATTGACACCAAAATCAATAAAAAAAGGTCTTACCTTGCTCTCAATAAGATTAACTTCTTCACTCCCAGCCATGGAAAAGTAAAAAAAAAATCTTCTTTTTATTACCAATCAAACAGAACAAAGACACGAAAGCCCAGATCGGAAATTTCCCTCAAGAATTCGATTAAGAAAAGATTTGAGCCAAGAAGGGAAATTTTCAACTACTAAACGAGACTCAATGAGTAAAGTTTTTATCTTGAAATAGAAAGAAACCTGCTTTTAAACGTCAGATCAAAAGGTTTAACATTTTTAATACGGAGCATAAGAAATAAAAATAACTAAGGGTTAGTGAAATTTTTGAGCTTAAAATAAGAGGTGTGGTGGATAAGAATATTGGCGTAGGTTAGTATGAGTTTGACTACAGAGTATAATCTGCGCATGGAAATGCAAGTCCAACGCGTCGGGGAGAGAGTTGGGTGGACCTCAAGAAAATAAATAAATCATGTTCTTGTTTCGTTTGAATTGAAGAATATATAACTTTTTAATCTGTTCGCAACGGGAAAACAAAGCTTTTTTTTTTTTTTTGAAAATTTTAGTATGATATTCACGTAATAAAAAGAGAATTTTTTTTTTATTATATAAAATTTAGTTTCCTAAAATTATTAATTTATATAATAGTAATATATATTATATTTATAATATTTATATAAACAAATTAGAAACACTGTTTAACCCAAACTATATACTAACACTAGATATAGATCCGTGCGTTGCACGGATTATTAGTCAAAATTATCACTTATTTTTTTTTAAACTTAACTAAAATTAAAATAAATATCTACGGTATGTTTTAATTTTAAAAAATGCAGCATTTTAATTATTTTTAAATAGATTTATTATGCATAATGCAAAATCCAATATAAATATTGGCCTATTTATTATCAACACCACCATTACTACCTTTTCTCCTCTTTCCCAACTGATCTCCTTTTTTTTTTATCTTCTCTGGCATTGAGCAGAGCCTCTTTCCAACAAAAAATTTAGTCTATGTCTATCGCCGTTCATAATTCTTTAATTTGCCTCAATCGCCATATATTCTTTGGATCTAAATATCACATCCATTTTTAGAAAACCATTATAATTCAAAGTGATTTTATATATTAATAACATGATATATTTCTAATAAATAATAAATAATTATTACCTGATTCATGTTATTTTTAAAATCAATCTATCACCACATCCGTAACCATCAACCACCACCATCGTCACCTCCATTAACAATCACATGCTACATTGTTTTTTCCTGAAATTTTAAGTGGATGTCTCTCTTTCGTCGTAAAAATTCCAGTATTGATTTTCTTTATTTTTAAATTTCGTGTTATTAGTGTTTATTTCTTGTTTTTTAAATCCTAATTACATGTATGTTTTGTTTTTTGTTTGAGGGCTATTTCATCGCTGAAAAAGTTAGTTTCTAAATTTTTTTTTCACTCATGGCTATTTTTTTAATTATTTTTGAGTCAAAGGTTAGTTACTAATATTATCCTAAAAATAATTTGTAACAAAAAAAAGAGGCGAAAAAATTTACTAATAGAATGAAGTTAAAGAAATGGTGGTGTTTCTGAAGAAATTAGTTTGCTTGGTTAGAAAATATGAGACAATCTATTTTTTATAAAGAAGTGAGTATTTACAATTTTTTTTTCCTTATATGATTAATAAATTATATAATTTATTAATTTTTCGATTTTTAAATCTTTTTTCTTGTACAATTAGTAACTTATAAATAAAACATTTAGCATATTTTTATAATTTCTATTTTATGGAAAATATACATATAATTTTTTTATATATACATAAAGTTTCCTTATAATATTTTTTTATATTTATAAAACTCTTTAAATTTATAATTTTGTTATAATTATCTTTTACAATTTTTAATGTGTTAAAAATATTTTATATTTGCCACATGGCAAAATCTCTTATGGAAATATAGGTATAATTCCATTATAATGATCTTTTTATATTTAAAACTGTTTAAATTTATAATTATATTTTTCCTTTTTTAATTACTAAAAAGTAAATATTTATTTGACACGAGGCAAAATCTAAAATCGATAGATTTGACACGTGTCACGATCACGTGAGTTACTAACTTTAAAAATCATATTTTATATAATAAGATAATATATATTAAAATATATTTGATAAGAATTTTAGCTTCTGGCAAAATGATAAAGAAGTATACTTTATAAGAATAATCGACATCAATACTACTAATAAATAGTACCGGTCCAATGTTTGGGAAGACCCTAAGCAAGATAATTTTTGTCTCCCCCCATATAGTCCCTTTTCGATCCCTAAAAAGAGCCATTCTTTTACAAATAAACTAACAAGAAAAACGAATTAGAATGGCTAATCGATTTGCACACATGGTTACTAGATTTTTTTTGCGCTATATATCAATTCAATCAAAAATCAAAACAATTCTCCAAAAACCAAGAACGAATCATAATCAGAAACTTTAATGAACACATATCACAATCACATACCTCTGTTACGTTATCGTGACGTTAAGGCTTTGTTACCACCTCAGCTTCCTTTTGACTCTTTCTTAATCACTAATTCACTATTCACCAAGCAAATCAAGTTAATCAAAAATCATAAAAGAATAATTTTTTGTTGAATGATCTGTGATGAAAGTAGAATAATTTGTAGGATAAAGAGAGTTCTTTTTATGAAAAAATGATCTACTGCAAACTATGTTCATAGATAGACGAGAAGATCAACAATTTTTAATTTGATTTATTTAGTAATAAAAAGATGAAAAAAATAATCTCTGTAGGCTATAGAAAATTTGGGCCGTAAGCCATCGCTTATGTCGCTTACGTCGTGGGCCGGTCTTGCTAACAAATATAAGAATACATACTACATTTATGGAGATATCGGCCGCCGTAGATTACTCAATATGATATTGGTCTTAACGACTTATTAATTTATAAATTATTAATACCAACTGATTATTGATTAACGATTAATACTATGATATCAGTCTTAATAGAATAGTATTAAGTTAACTAATTATTTTTAAATCAGAATAATATGATACCGATCTTCACAGAATAACATATTTCACTATCAAAATCATATCCATAACAATTATCCAAAGTAACAAATCAGTTTTCAAAATTAACATTAAATTAATTTTATCTCACTCCTAAAATATTATTCAGTTGGATAATAACTAAAAATACACTTATAAGTCACTTGCAAATAATTTCTAAATCGAATGAATGGTCAACTGAAATTCTATACATGTTCCAAACCACCAATTAATTTACCTAGCAGATTTTGATTAACGTCGACCTCTAATTGACGAACGGTAAGCAGCTTTGGATTTGTATGGTCAAGATGTTGCTAACGTGGTATAGAACAAAACATAACTCTCCCTGAATATTGAATTAAGATCCTAGAGTATATATCTTTGATCAAGAACTTGTGATTATAAGAACACCTTTTCTTATTACTTTTGAAACTAACTTAAAACAAAAGTACACAAATCTCTTAATCTCTAAACTCTCATATGACATACCACATCTTTGGTAGCTCATATTTATACACACAAAACATAAGACCTAAACATTAAACCGACTTGTTTAAAACCGACTTAGAGAGCTAGATAATATCTAGTTTTTAGATAACTCCTAAAAACTTCTTATCTTTTATCTCAAGTTAACTACTAACTCTAGTTAACTTCTTTGATCATAAGCTTCTTAACTCAAGCTTACTTCAACAATCACCCCCTTAAGCTTGAGAACTTCTTGTGATACGTCTTGAACTCCTACGAGATCCCTCATTTCTTTAAACTTGATTCTTCCTAAGGCTTTAGTTAAGATGTCAGCCTTTTGTATATCCCCCGGAACATGATCCACTTCAACTTGTTCATTTGCAATACATTCTCTAATGAAGTGATATCTCTTATGGATGTGTTTACTTCGTCCATGAAACACAGGGTTTTTCGTGAGTGCTATGGCTGATTTGTTGTCTATTAAGATCAACACCTTCTCGCATGTTTCCTCAATGATTTCCCCTAGAAGTTCCTGAAGCCAAATGGCTTGCTTTGCAGCCTCTGTTGCAGCCATGAATTCTGCCTCACAAGATGATAAAGCCACTGTTTCTTGCTTTTGATAGCACCAAGTAATTGGACAGTCATTCAAGTAAAAGATATGGCCTGTTGTGCTTCTTCCATCATCTTCATCAACATTGTGACTGCTATCACTAAAACCAATCAGTTCTGTTTTATCTTTTCGACCAAATGACAAACCATACGACTTTGTTCCCTGCAAATACCTAAGTACTTGTTTTAGCGCTGATCCATGAGATTCTTTAGGGTCATGCATATATCTGCTCAGGACTCCTACACTATAGGAGAGATCAGGTCTTGTATGTAGTAGATATCTCAAACATCCAATATTTCTTCTATATTCCTTTTCATCTATACTTTTCTCTTCTTGAGCTTTACTTAGCTTCAAATTTGCAGTCATTGGTATATGCACAGCATTACATTCCTCCATTTTGGTTTCAGCTAGTATTTTGGATGCATACCTTTCTTGTCTTAACATGATTCCTGATTCATGTTGTACTACTTCAATACCGAGATAGTATGTGAGCTTTCCTAAGTCACTCATCTCGAATTTTTCAGACATTCTTCTTTTAAAATCAAAGATCATACCTAGGCTAGAGCCTGTTACCAGAAGGTCATCTACATAGACAGCTACAACCAGAAGTTGTTTATTCTCTTCCTTTCGATACAAAGATGGTTCTTTAGAGCACTTAACGAACTTTAGCTCCATAAGTATCTGATTGAGCTTGTTATTCCATGCCATAGGGGCTTGCTTAAGTCCATACAAAGCTTTGTTTAACTTGTATACTTTGTCTTCATCTCCTTCAATCACAAATCCTTCTGGTTGTTTTACATACACAGTCTCTTTTAGTTCACCATGCAAAAACGCCGTTTTTACATCAAGATGATGCACTTCCCATCCATGTGATGCAGCTAATGCAATGATGAACCGTATTGTTTCAATGCGAGCTACAGGTGCAAAAACCTCATCGTAGTCTACTCCATGTTTCTGAATATATCCTTTAGCCACTAATCTTGCCTTGTATTTGTTGATACTACCATTAGCATTGCGTTTTATTTTGAATACCCATTTGAGGCCGATGGGCTTAGTTCCAGCAGGTGGAGAGACTAGATCCCATGTCTTGTTTTTTTCTATTGATGTGATTTCTTCTTGACATGCATCTCTCCATTCTTTCAACTCCTTTGCTTCATCGTAATCCCAAGGTTCTTCATTTAGGCTTAGTACCAATCTTTCTGTTTCAATTTCTGCTAACAGGATGTAGTCTTGTAAATAGCTA